GGTCTGACAATCAGTCTAGCAGGCCTGTACCCCTTCAGAGGTGTGTAATCAATTGCAAAGAAAATTCAGAAAAACTAAAATATGAAAAATTAAGAACAGTTTTTGAAAAAAAGCCAGTTTTTTTCCAACGCTGGTCGGCCGACCAGCGTTGGAAAAATGCAGTTTTTCTTGAAAATGTCAGCAAACCAGGAGCCTCGATTTTAAAGGATGCTTTAGACTGTCATTCCTAACAATCCAGTAACGTATTTCGGGATAATTTGATCATTTCGTTTTTTGATGTTTGCAAATGTTGTATTTTCCCTTTAACCGGCTATTTTTATTGCGTAAAGTTGCCAGATAGAGGCTCTGCATGCCAAATGGTGGAGTGTGAAAAGAGCGAATTGAGCTCAGATCAATACACAACATAAGGATAGTGGAAGTGAGCTAGCAACTCTGGCGATAGTCGCTTGTCCGTTTGTGCCGCCCCTACTCCTCAAAAATTGACAAAATGGACAATGCCACCTCTCTTCCTCAAGGCTAAACCCATCAAGGCTGTTGTTCAATGCAGTCTGACAAGAAAACCCAACCCCCTTCCCCAAATCCGATATTCTGGATCCCAGGTTCAAAGAGTATGTTACGAAAAAGAAAGTAAACCTTAGGTAAGAGACTGTGTTGGGAGGGTCCTTGACTGTATCAAGCAAAAAACACAACCGAAAATTAGCATATGCCATGCATTGACCTTGCATTATGCGCACGTAAGATATTATTTTACAAGTCATTGGTTCATATGAATAAAGACTAGCTTTTACTTTTACTACCAATTTTGAAGCATTTACTTGCATTGGTATGAATAAAAATGAAGCAAATGCTTTTACAGGAAAGCATTTGCTGAAAGCTAAAAGTATTTACTTTAAACTTGTTAGCTTTTGCTAGACAAGAAGTGTTTACTTCATGTCGTATGAATAAAAAGGAGTACCCCCTTCAGATTTCAAGTATTTACAGATCATTTTTAAGTCTGTGTTGGGGCTACCTTGAAAATATAAAGCAAATACTTATGTGCAAAATTTGCTGCATTTATTAATATTAATCGTGCCAAAATTAACACAAAACATTAATGAACTACATATGATACCATACACTCTATTTTGAATAACATTTATGCAAATTTTAATTTTTTGTTTTTAATCCAATACTGGAAGAAACAATAATTTCGCATTTTGTTCACATGTAAGCATTAAAATGCAGTGCGGCATAGAATGATTAAGGAGAAAATTTATCCAACGGTACCCAGGGGACTAAACAAAATGAAATCATTTTCGTTTATTAGGTCACCAATCTTTGCAAACTATTATTTTTTAATATTTCAATATACAAAAACCTTTGTGTATTGAATTTTGCTAAGGTTTTACCGGCTTTAACGCAAGTCTGTGAATAATTTATGCATGATGTCTACAGGACACTGCAGTGGACTACACTTTTCATGAATGATGAAAGTAAACTTTCTGTATTCTGCAACTGGCGGAAAGCGTCTTCATCATTTTTGCTGATTTGATTTGAGGATCAAATATACTACTACATGTACTGTATGCATCAACTTGATTTGGACTATGAAAATTTGTCCATGAAAACAATCCAACAGTAAGAAGCATTTGCTTCCTGTTGTCTAGTAAATGCTGAACAGTATAAAGAACATTTTTTATTCATACAGAATCAAGCATATGCTTTTCCTTAATGCTTTTTCTCCAAAGTAAACACTTTTTTCTTTTTGCTTTTGTTTTGTACATACGACCCATTATTTGTAGTTAATTAACATTTTATGTTAATTTTGGCACGATTTATAATAATAAATGCAGCAATTTTTCGCAGACGTATTTGCTTTATATTTTCAAGGTAGCCCAAGCCCAGCCTTAAAAAATTACCTGTAAAACACTTGAAAACTGAAGCATTTTCTCCTTTTTATTCATGCAAAATGAATTACAATTCCAGTAAATACTTAGCTTTCAGCAAATGCTTTCCAGGAAAAGCATTTGCTTAATTTCTATTTGCACAGATACAAGTAAATGTAGTACAAGCCAGTGTTGGAGTATCAACTCAAGTACACACAAGTACTCGCCCCTTACTCAACTATCAGTACTTGAAAACAAATTTGACTTGGCCCTACTCAATTCTACATACTCGAATTTTGCACGGACTCGACGGCTTGGTACTCGGTACTCGACCCCAGTACTCAGGAGTACACATCGAGTATATTTCTTTTTAATGGATTCCACTGCTCAACCTGGAACGCAATGCTAGCATGATGGCACGGTTAACAGTCTGTATTACTGCTTAGTCTAGTTCCCACCTCCCCAATGCTACTAACATTGGAAGTCGTAGCACTGAGGATTTGTGAATCGGGAGCCAGCCAAGCTCATGCTTCTTATGTTCGCTCGTCGCTTCACTGTTTTTCAATATGTAATATGAACAACCAGCAATTGAATTCTTGCTTTTTGGTCGGTTTTGTTAATTTTGGGGTTTTTCTTGTGTACTTAAACGAGTTTGTCTGGAAAAATTTCCAAAATAGCCAATACTTCAGGTGACTACCCAGCTATGCATGATTTCTCTTCTTTTTTTAAAGAAATGTTGAAAACAAACTGCCAATTCATTCACTGATTTGATGAATTTTGTTTTATTTTTACATTGTTTACACTAATAAAAGTTGTTTAGTGTTAACCAGTTGGTAAAGAAGAGTGGATTGGATGTTGTGTTTGTTTTTATTTTATTTTAATATTTAGTCATTTCTAAACTTCATTTTTGTACTTTTTTGGTATTGTACTGGAACTCGGACTAGAACTCGGACTTAGGTACTCGGTATACTCTGTACTCGGTTTTGAGGACTCGACTCCAACACTCGACTACAAGCAAATGCTAGTTTTTAGACATATAATAGCCAAACTAGGCCACACAGAGCACTCAAATCATGTAGACTTTCCAGAAATTTCCTGTGTGACTGCATTGAGACCTTTTACAAAAGAGCTTTCTTTTGATCAATTGAGAGCACAAACTGTGGTCTTGGAGAAATTAAAGGTGAAATACAAAGCACGAACAAATTTGTTTTTGAATTTTTTTTACGACCGTTATATAGGTCTGTTTAATTTTCTTTTACTGCAAATATAATTACATTTCATTGTCCACAATAGTTCTCTCAAAAATATATGATCTGACACCATTATTTCAAAACATTAAAAAAAATGGATTTTTAGGAAAAGCTAAATGCTAAATATTAAGGTTCTTTGTTTTTACGTGAGGACTTGCTACAGACAGTGCAACTAGTGAGTTTTATGTATTCATTGCTACTGAATCAAAATAAACGAGAACACCTTCTATGATGCCTGCAATGCATATAGTCTATTATAATTACAGCAAAAATAAAACAAAACATGACGTATTTTGTAACAATGTATTCCATAACATACGTACTTGTTTATTACATTTTAATTTGTTTAGGTATTTGTTTGCCATGCAAACAAATATGTACAAGTGCATACTTGACAAATGCATGTTCCACTTTTTGGACAATAGTCAAATTTACAGGTACAAGAATTTCTCAAATTCCAAAACTTTTTTTCCTGACTAACTTTACATCTTCCAAACAAGCTTTTATTGTGGTGTATATTAATAACTAAGTAAAGTAACCCCAACTCCCTAGGCATTGTTGCCAGGATGTAACCTCAATCCTGCAAAATCCTACATTATTTCTTGAATATGGTCCTTGGAGGGATGACCACTGCCTCAATCCTTCAACATCCTTCGGCAGTCACTGTCAACATGTTGAGGCAGAGCCGGTGACATCCTGGAGCAGTGCAGAGGTTTTCAAGTACATGTATAATACAGGCCTAAATGTATGCATGGCTGATCACAAACAACACAAGGTGCGGCCTAAGACCTTGACACAGTGCATCCTCCAAAATCTGAGCCACACACTTTGCCATAGCTTAAATTTTGTAAAATCTTCCATTTCGCCAAGAGGATTTTGGAGGATTTGGGAACTTGAGGTCAGGGTTAATCATAATCAAAGAAAAATACACCTAACTCTAATTGCATAGAATCCACTACAAAAGAAAACAATCACATAAACAAATTCCACAACTTTCACAACATCACAAGTTATACAAGCAAAACAGAGAAAAGTAAACAACGACAGAGCTGTTCCCAAAATGTTTTTAATTTCTATAATATCAAAAGGCTTAGCCCTAATAAAATATGATGAAATATGCAAAGATGTGATATCATGGTTCAATGCATTTTAGAGATATGGTTGATTGGCTAATTAAGTATTTTTGACTTCATAACATGACAACCACAGTCTCCACTGTGCAGCCCTGTGGTTGCAAAGGCTGATTGCAAAGGCTGATTTCTAAAGGTTACGTAATACTTTATTTGGAATGATAAACAACATGCACACAGACATGTTGATGTTAGCGGGCAAATTCTTTGAAAATTAATTTCTCCAGTTTTGAAGACCGTATCTTCATGCATGTGTTTTAGGACACTACCAGCACCCAAAAAAATTGGTGTTGGTTAGTTCGGGGTGGGGAAGGGGGGGGGGGGGGGTAATAGTCCCCTATTTACCTTGGAGATATGAAAATGTAAAATTTCGGAGAATTTAACCTGCAACCCTTGGACCACTGGAATAGAGTAGCACGCAACAGTGAAGCTACTCTATCTGCCTTGGAATATAAACTATAAGAAGGGATGTGACATATTTTTTCATTTACAATTGTATGTGATATGTTTCTCACTTGCATATTATTGACTTTAACTTTACTAGGGGCAAGTTCGCGCAAGGACTATAGTTAACCATTGGTCGACTAACGCTTGCCCGAACTCTGTCTAGTCGACGATGGTTAACTACGCTAGTCGACTATTTGGAACCAACCTACTGGGGTTGGTTGCTTCGCTGGTAACCATAGCCGCGCGCGTTCATAACGTACAGCAGGGAGCCAGGATCCAGAAGTTTTGCGATGACATTTTGACCAGCATTCGACTAGAGACGTTCGCACTTTGCTATTAGTGCGCAGGCGTAAGGTACGTCACAAATCAACCACTAGTCGACTAATGGTCCTTGCCCGAACTTGGCCTAGCCTGCAATTGATAGGCGCATAACAGCAGAGTCAGCATTGTGGAGTTACCAGAGTATCCCAAGTTCATTCACATGATGGACCACTGAACATACACATACAACATGTGCGATGTGGGTTCACGAGGTTCTTAAAAAAAACCAGGGTAACTCAACGTTTCAGAAAGTATGCTCTGCCAGTCATCATTCTTAATCTTTCTTAAGCTCTAAGCCTCTGGGTTCAGTGCGCTTTAGTATACATTTTGTATTTGTCAAGCACCTAACTTTATGGTGCATGGACCAAACAGGTGAAGGATGATATGTCAACGTTCTTTCTTGCTTTAAGTCCTCTATAGTAATGGTTTATGCCAACTAGTACAAGCACATAGCTTTAATAGCCCAGAGTTTAGCCCACTGATAGTGATAGTTGTGCTGAATTTCCAAAAGCTGATATATTTATCAGTGACCTGGTCATCACAGGTGCAATCACTAGGTGTAGCCACTGTTGCAAAGGGACAGTCCTCACACCCATTAGCAATAGGGTTTAGTGGAACATCTATACTCCAGTCCAGTGAAGGGCCATGGCAGGGAATAAGGACCCCATGCATGACAACAAGGCTGAGGGTACAAAAGTGTACCATGGTGGATGAAATTCAATAGATGCACACTTACTCAGGTAGCAAGATTCATGGAGGGGCATGATGACCACATTGGGAACTAATGGCAGAAACAGCAATCCTATGATCTTTTTTGAGCTGCCATGGTGTCAAGCAGATCACAGGGGACAAAATAACATTTTAAAACTGTGTTTCAATTTCATACATGCATGTAGATAAAATCAGGATGGTTAAAATGAACATTGATTTTGGTGACTTAAAATTAAGAACATGGCAACTCGTATGACAGCCCTCTCAATTTGGAGGAAATTACATGTAGACTTGTAAAGTTAGCTTTCATGCAAGTTCATTGTTACATGATTCTAGTGATTTGTCAGTGGTGGAAGCAGAAACACAATTAGGACTACTTTTTTCTCCAGTTGACCTGTCATCTTCAGCATCAGCAGTTGTACATGTAGTAGAGACATTTTGGCCTTTATATCGCGGATTCTTCTTCAGGAATCCACCTTCTATCATACTATATGCCATGTCAATGATGGTTTGCTTCATCGGGTGTGGCTCTATCTTCAAAATAGTCTTCATCTAAAAAAAAATAATAATAAAAGGATCAACTTGTGCTCACTGTGTTGCCACTTCAAAATAGAAGTGATAAAAAAGTTGACTTAATGAATGCTGGAGATGAAATTATTCCAAAGCTAGCACATTATTGCACATACAACCTATCTTTTAATTAAGTTTGTAAATAGTTGTTGGTTTTGCAACGCAACACGTAGATGGCATGCAAAGAACATACCGGGTAAGTTGTTTTTTGACCTTCCCTTCCCTATTCCATTGACCTTGTACATAGTGTAGTATGCAAGTTAAAAATGTCTTTAGCCAAGTCATTCAGGCGTGGCCTGACATGCAGCACACAACACGCACTGAGCCAGTCCCTGCTCTGTCAAAACAAAAACTTCATAAAATATAATGCTAACTTCCCCCCCCCCCCCCCCCCTTGACACCCAACATTTTATTACTGGAATTAATATACGCCTGTGCCCAATTAACCCAAAATACAGACAGAGCCTGCTAGGTTACGGGGGTATTTGTACACTATATGCATCAGTCGTGATCCTGCCGGCTCTGCGATCGGGCGCCTTGGCTATCGTGCTGTCCGATTATGGCCAAATATCTCTCCCCATACCGGTAGCTCGTGTATTGCCAGGAACAAGCAGAGGACACACAGTACTACATGCGGGAAGATTCAGATTCAGGAGGGATAAGTACCCATGGTTTATTTTGTATCCTTAAAAAAAATAAAAAATAAACTAGAGGTTGTAGGAACAACCACACGGTGTTGGGCCCTTGTTGATGTTCATGTTGATTGTTGATGTTGAGGGTTGAGGGTTAAGGGTTACAAAATAGGGCGTGTAGTAATTATAAAGAGGATAACTGCACGCGCGTATGCTGCTCTACTGTAAATAATAATAATAATAATAACACAGTTTTTATATAGCGCATCACACCGAGGTCTCGATACGCTTCACAGGAAACAACAATTAAAAGCAATTAATGGAACAGGTAAGTTTTAAGGAGTGTTTTAAATTCATTTTCGGCATTGACAGTTCTAATATGGTGTGGGAGAGAGTTCCAAAGCGATGGTGATGCATGCATGAAGGAACGATGTCCATAAGTCTTAGTGCGAGTGACCGGTGTACTGAGCAGCAATGTTGAGCTAGAACGGAGGGTGCGTTGTGGCTGGTATACTTGAATAAGTTCACGGAGGTATGCTGGTGCTGAGCCGTGGATGCATTTGTGAGTTAGGAGTAGAATCTTGAAGGCGATTCGCTCATTGACAGGTAGCCAGTGAAGGGTGCGAAGAATAGGGGTTATATGTTGCCTGGATGATGTACGTGTAACAAGTCTGGCGGCGGAATTCTGGATGCGCTGAAGTTTCGAGGTTTGAGAATCAGGAATACAGTGTAGGAGACTATTGCAGAAATCGAGACGGCAAGAGATAAAAGCATGGACAAGCTTTTCCGTCGTTTGTTGGTCGAGGAAATTTCGAATGTGTCCTATCTTGTGGAGAGCTAGGTAAGAAGAGCGGCATATGTTGTTGACCTGGTTTTGCATTCTAAGGTTTGACGTGATAATAGTTCCAAGGTCACGGGCGCTAGTGACAGGTCTGGTGCAGGAGTCGGAGATGCAGATACTTTCAATTGGAGTATGTTGCTTAAACTGAGAGGTGATGTGGATGACTTCAGTTTTGTCGCCATTCAATTTGAGCTTATTGGCCGTGGACCAAGACTGTATGTGTGTGAGACATGACTCCAGTCGCTGAATGACGTCAGGACGCTGCTGTTCTGTCATGGTGACGTAAAGTTGAATATCATCAGCGTAGATCATGCAGCTGACGCCATACGATGCAATGAGATCTTCCAGTGGAGATGTGTACAATGTGAAGCATAATGGACCTAGGACAGACCCCTGTGGCACTCCAGTATTGACATTATGGGAGGGAGATGAAATCTTATTAATAAGTACAGATTGTTGACGATTTGCAAAATATGAGGTGAACCATTCCAAGGCGGAGTCGTTGATGCCAAAACGATGATGTAAACTTATCAAATAAAATCGTTACCAAACCCATCAAATAGCTCATATCTATAAACGTAAATGTCGCACACCATTGGCGCAATACAAAATATTGCTCACCATATCCTCTTTACCCCGATGCACATGTTTTTAGGGGGGAAAAACGCCCAATTTTAAAAAGCGCCCAGTTCGGCGCTTTTGCCGGCCCAATTTTTGAGCATCATATGACGTCATCAGAAGTCAAAAATGTGCTTGCGTTTAAGAAGTTGTCATACAAACGTGAACAAAACACTGGTAACCACTTTATAAGATACATTGGTCCATCAAACATAGCTCAATTGTCAACATACAACAGTCGTAAAACCAGACACTTAAAAAGGAGCACGGGGAATTCCCTTTTGTACGCAATCATAGCGCACTGTTTTTCGGGAATTCCCCTGTGTACACAATCATCCCCATTTGCTGTACACACAATGTACGTGGCATTAAATGAGTGTATCAAGGCGTAGGCGTGGCCGTGTTCAACTTCAAATTTCAAGGGGGCTGCAGGGCATCTCCATGTTTACTTATTGAAACGAAACTTTGGGAAGTTTTAGACCTTTTATTAAAGTGCCATTTAAAGCACAAAACTTGATTATATCTCTGACAGTTGATTTTTTTAGCAATTTTCAAAGGAAAAGAGGTCTTTTCATTGTAACTTCCGGTCTGATGACGTAATCATTTTTTTTTCATGCACAGGTCTTGTCTGCATTAAGGTCATCATTTATATTAACTTTGAAACGAGTACTGCAAATTTCGCCACAGACATCAACTGGAAATGCGTTTTGGACATTTTTTTAACCTGCCGCTAGAGGGCGCTCAAACTCTTCATGGCGTCACCGGTAATTTTTTGGAAAGGTCAACCCACCCACAGACTTACATCGTTGAAAGCAAGTTCATATTTTTTCCACTTTCAAATTATTAGGCACTTCCGGTTTCGACCGGAAGGAAGGGTCATGTGATTTTGCACGCACAAGATAAATTAAAGATCAGGTATTATCATGTTGATTCCCGCAAAATTCAAGTTCTGGTCTCTGATTTTATATTGAATTTCAAAGATTAAATTTGTTATTTTTTGAAGTGACGTCACGTGAGCCCATGATGGCGTCATGATGACTGTCACACTACCTCTTAAAGGTTTTCTACGGACATTATTTTAGGGGGAACTGAACACGCTAAGTACATGGGGACACAGACAAATAAAAACAAGGTCAACTCAATCCTGGGTTCTCAAACTTATTCACTTAAACTGTCTCTTATTCAAGATCAAAATTTCCAAATTCCAAAATTTATGATGAAATTACACTCAAATGATCAAACGGAAATTTGGGCCCAGACAAGTTTTAAAATCTCACGTATTCGTCTCCAAATTAACAATTTCAAAGTTATAAAATGGACGTCACAATTAGAAAGAGGATTTTACATGAGCTGCACTAAAATTATTTGAGATTCTAAAATTCAGTAATCAATGCATTCAGAAATCTAATCAGTAAAATAGCTCACGATATCTAGATGAGTTGTACCCATATTTCAATATGGGGTTTTTCTCCCTTGACAATAGGAGTGGGAATGGCAATTGTAGTTTTACGTAATTATGCAAAGTAGACACGCATACTCGGGTCTATGTGTTTTACAGAAAAGCAATGAAGCATAAATCTCCTGGTTATGTGACACACCCGTATATGCCACTTCAGGTTAGCTCACTGCCGAGTACACAACTGTTCTACTAATATAGTCCTTGCTTCCCACCCACCCACCCTTAAACATGAGACACGTTTTGCTTGTTGTATTTTATTTGCCTTCACTCAGGCTTGCCAAATGATTTCTGCTACATCTGCAAGGCACCAGGACATTGGGCACGAGAATGTCCTCTGCATAGACGACAGCACATCCCTTTCGGGAGTAGAGCAAGAGCAAATCCACTCAGTTCCACATACACCAACTACTACTCCAGCGTACCATGGCAAATCCCTCCCATCCACCAGTCACTTCCACTCATTTCACCCGCAGCACACACAGCAGTCATCCCAGCAAAACCAAGCTCAGGTACAAGCACTTCAATTTGAGCATTCAGCTCGTGTCACACAGATACAAGACAAATTCGACGACGTATTACAGGTAGCTTGCAAATTTGATCAGAATGGCCTTTGTGATCTACCTTCAGATCTTATTCCAGTCAAAGGAAGAATTAAAGAGCATAAACAGTTTTGGGAAAATATCGGTACTTCCAACTTTATCCTTTCAGTAATAGATCACGGTTAAAGAATCCCATTTTTAGAACGACCTCCCAGAATGTTCCACAAATATAACAGATCAGCTTTGCAAGAACATGTATTTGTAACCGAAGCTATCTTAGAATTGCTGAATTCGGGTAGAATTACAGAAAGAGAAGAACCGTCGTACATTGTCAGCCCTTTGTCAGTATCCATTCAAGCATCAAAAAAGAAAAGGTTAATTCTAGATCTAAGTAGATTGAATTTGTTTGTGGAAAAGACACACTTCAAACTTGATGACTGGAAAGTAGGTCTTCAGTTTATGTCCCAAAATGCACGCCTAATTAATTTTGATCTAAAGTCGGGATACCACCACATTGACATCGCGAATGAATCGCAACCTTACCTTGGGTTTTCATGGAAATTTGACGATGAGATAAGGTATTTTGAGTTTAATGTACTCCCCTTTGGGCTCTCTAGCGCTCCGCTAATTTTCACCAAGTTCTTGAAACCACTTGTAACCCATTGGAGGATGAACGGCATATTAATTGCCGTTTATTTGGATGACGGGTTTTGTGTAGTACCCAACATTTGCACTGACCAGTCAACTAATCTAAAACATGCCAAGGACATAGCTTACCACGTCGAATCAGATTTGATTAGGTAAAGCTGGTTTTGTATACAATATACAGAAAAGTATTAAATTGGGAACCATCTACAAGTTGCGAATGGTTAAGTATGAAATGGGATACCGTAACTGGAACAATACAGGTACTAGATAGACGTATACAGAAGATAATTACTACTGTGTCAGAGTTAGCACCAATACTCCCTATACGGAAATTACATTCTTTTGTTGGTCAAATCATATCATTGGGTCCAGTGGCAGGCAACATTACTAGGCTTATGACTCGTCACTGCCAAATGGCTATTGCAAGTGGTATGCATGAAGACGAAGCGATTGCACTAGACAAATTTTGTAAGTCAGAAATCAACTTTTGGAAAACCCACGTCGCAAACTTAAATGTTCGCTATATTTTCCAGAATTCGACAGTCAATAAGATCATGTGCTGTGATGCCAGTGCTATGGGAGCAGGTTCCATAATGTGTAACGATGTCCACGTAGCTCACAAGCATTGGACAGAAATCGAATCTCTTCAAAGTTCCACTTGGCGGGAATTAAGCACCATCTCTTTCGCCCTCATGTCATTTTTACCTCTGATATCAAATTCCAAAGTCAAATTGTTTACAGATAGCCAATCAGCAGCTCACATTGTAGAGGTCGGTAGTATGAAGCTCGAATTACATAAGATCTCGTTGGATATATTAACCATATGCATTCACAATAACATCAGACTAGAGGTACAGTGGATTCCTAGAGCAGCAAACAAGCAAGCTGATTTCATCAGTAAATTAATTGTTTTGGATGACTGGGCGATTTCTGAAGAATTCTTTGTCTCTATTAGCAAGCTATGGGGTCCATTTACAGTAGATTGTTTTGTAAATCACTATAACACAAAATTGCCCAAGTTCTTTTCAAGATTTTGGAATCCTGGATGTTCAGAAGTAGATGCCTTTTCACAAAATTGGGCAACAGAAAATTGCCTCTTAGTGCCACCAGTCTCACTTATCCCTAGCGTTCTTCGTCACTTATTTTTGTGTAAAGGCAAAGGAGTACTTGTGTTCCCTTGGTGGCCCTCCTCCCCCTTTTGGCCTTTACTATGGTCATCATACAAGTCGGGTATCAAACAGTTCATTTCTGTTCCTGGACAGGATAATCTTAAATTAGGACGCAATAAGAATTCCCTCATAGGATCTAATTTATTTAAAAGCAAAGTGGGAACCGCATACATTGATTTCACTAAAGCTAATACATATGATTGAATTAATAATAAATATTATATTTGTTTTTTGTGTATTAGATAGTTTTACGACAGTTTTTGGTCGGAATTTCCTCAGCAAATTCAAGGTTTCAAGATGCGCACCTTTCGAGACATGCTGACGGCCAAGGCAGACGGTACTATCACCTCTTACCTTTACAAATGTCGAGAATTCTTCTCGTGGCTTAAAAAGCTGAATCTTCCAGTGAAGTTGCCAGTCAGAGAGGAATTCATTGCCACTTTCATTGCCGATAAGGCATCTGTCTCTACATCAGACAGCACCATCATTACATTGGCCTCAGCTTTTAAATGGCTACATTCACTAGTCAACTGCAATCCAAGTCCTGTAGACACTTCAATAGTGCAAAACGTTGTTGTTAGTCAGAAGCGTAACCTTCACAAACCACCTCAGCAAAAAGATTTCTTTTGAGATAGTTCAGTCCATCGCACACTTCTTTGGTAACCCTAATTGTAATTTGATGCAGCTTAGAACGGCATGTTATGTTGTCCTGAAATTTACTCTCCTTTTTCGACATGATGAGATGGCTCAAATTAAGGCAAGTCACATACAAATGCTACCTAATGACGCGGGTTTAAGTATCTTCATTCCTCGATCTAAAACCGATATCTTTAGGGAAGGCAACAGGGCTTACATTTCAGATACGAAAGAATTTTACACTCCTGTTCAAATCCTAAAAAGATACCTAGAGATGTGTAAAATTTATATTGGACAAAACGTTTACATCTTCACTCCGCTATCCTTTCATTCAAAATCGAACTCCTACACTCCAGTAGGGAAAAGACCTCTGAGTTACACACGATGTAGAGAGATATTTTTAGACGCTTTGAAACAAATTGGAATAACAAATCCCAACAGATTCGGTCTTCACAGTATGCGTTCGGGGGGTGCTTCACACTTAGCTAATCATGATGTGTCTGAAGAGTAAATACAACAACATGGAAGGTGGAAAACTACAGAGGCTAAGAATAGGTACATACATAGAAACATCGAACAACGTCTCCATGTCTCAAAGGTTCTACAGAATATGTAAGCGCTTCTATCCACATGTAAATACTGCATTATCTAATTCAATTAATTTATTTATTATGAAGATGTATCATGTATTATCATTGTTCACGTATAATCAGTAATTAAGAAACAAAACTGCCAGATTTCATATCAGAACTCTATGGATGAAGGGCCAAGGAGGACAAAGATATGTGAAAGCTAATAATGTGTTACTTTGTATTTAAAATATATCTAATTAGAAATTATTGTTATATGCATGAACGTATTCCTATTAATAATCAATGATGGTTTTCGGACTGAGACCAAAGGGCCAAGAAGGCCTTGCTCCATGATTGAACAGGTACCGGATATAATGCAAAGAACTGTGCAGTGAATTTGTATATGTAAAAGAGATCCGGACAGAGTCCGAAGGGCCGAGAGGGCCATGTTCCAGGTGGAACGAGAGTATAATATAATTCAAGAAATTGTTTTGCAGTTTGTACTAATTTAATGGAGATCCGGACAGAGTCCGAAGGGCCGAGAGGGCCATGTTCCAGGTGGAACGAGAGTATAATATAATTCAAGAAATTGTTTTGCAGTTTGTGCTAATTTAATGGAGATCCGGACAGAGTCCGAAGGGCCGAGAGGGCCATGTTCCAAGGTGGAACGAGTGTAAATTATAATTCAAGAAATTATTTTACAGTTTGTACTAATAAAAATGGAGATCCGGACAGAGTCCGAAGGGCCGAGAGGGCCATGTTACAAGGTGGAATAAATTCTGTCAATTTAATAATTAACAAGTAATTAACTAATTAAAATCTAATTGCACAGTAAAAAAAAAAAAATTTGTAATCTTACAGACAAACACAAGTGTACTCGTCACTCTGAGACTAACCCCAATCCCATGCTAATAAATTAAATAGAAATGAAATTCTGTATTTCTCTGTTCCGTTTGTTCAAGGGTGTGAAACTGTTTTTCATGCGGATGAGCGCAGCGAAGTAGCATGAAATATTCAATTCCACAAAATGGCATGTTCCAATCTAGGTAGATCACTTAAATCAAATTTATCAATCAATTCTATCAAATCTATCAATTCTTCAAATTTTCAATTCTCAAATCTTCACCTCTTAATTATTCTCCAATTTTCAATTTCTGCACTTTCCTTCAAATTTTGTGAATCTTTAACTCAAACACTCCTTGTTTGACACAGTGTTTTATCACCGCAATTAATTCTAATAACCTTAATTCTCAACTTGTAACAATTCACAACTTCAAATCACAAATTAACCCGTGAAGTTTCAAACTTTCACTTCTTAAACTTCAATCACATAATCTTTGTTCAATCTCAAAAATTCTCAATTTGTTTCTTAGATTCACTTATTAATCACCGTATCTTCAATTTGACCTCAAAATTCACAAATCGTAATTCACTTCAAGTTTATACATTTTCTCTTCTGTTGAAGTTGAAACCTTTCTGTTTCTATCACAATTTACTCTTTCAATAACACTTCTTTAATTTTTGTTCAAACACTTCTTCAAATTTTGGTTCAAACACTTCTTCAATTTTGGTTCAAACACTTCTTCAACTTTGGTTCAAACACTTCTTCAATTTTGGTTCAAACACTTATTCAATTTTGGTTCAAACCCTTCTTCAATTTCGGTTCAAACACTTCTTCAATTTTAGGTCAACCTTCTTTTCTTTCTGTATTAATCTCAAGTCATTTAGATTACCAATACCACATCAAATATTATCTTCGGGAAAATTGAATAATTATTAATCCTTCTTCCAATCTTTTTGATTTAAAAATATTAATACTCTCACATTCAAAATCCAAATCAAGTTTATGGTATTTCGCCAGTTATTTTATACAATCATAAAGGTGACTGCCGCCAGGTCCTTGTCAGCCTGCCAACTGTCTATGCAGCATCACTCAGATTTCGGTCCAAGGGGTCCGGTAGAGGTAGGAGTCCTTGACAAGAGCTTCAGTTCCTCAGGGTAGTGCGAGGCTCACTCTACTCGGTAGAAACATCTCTTAATTCTTTGTGCCATAGTTAGCATCTTCAAAACTCTCTCAGAGTTGCATACAATGTCAGCTTTTTATGCAGACCACAGACTGTCAGTATAGAACTGTGATTGTTGGCTGTTCAGGCTAAAGCTGGCAATAAAATCAGACTAGCTGTATGATTCTAGTTTCAGGACAAAATAGGTCCTCTCTCTCGTGTGTCTGGCGAGCAAGTGCCTGCAGCAGCTTAGCATAGGCAAAACCCCAAGCCACTCCCATGCAAGGAATTTTGGAAGGCATTTGGCAAATGTTCATACTCTACTGATCACTCATACTGCTAACTATGGCACACACGGGTAACAAAGCACTTTCCTTGGCACACCCACATACCATGAATGGCTTACTCAACAATACTGAATATTCATCACTGGAACTTACAACCTATCACTGAATCCACACACACACACCCATACACACACCCACGCACACACAGACTAACACTCAAAACCACTCGACCAAATAAATCAGTTCAATGAATAAATGAAACTAAGGAAAATATACACAGTCACTTGTGACAATGACGTAATTGCAAACAAGCACATCTTCAGTGGGTTGTGCATTCATGTATTGACAACTGAAGTTCATATATGTTTTCAGTTTGACAAACAGTTCTGGAGAAGAATTTGCTGAGGAGAACCATAATAATAACAACAATAGTAAATTCATACAATAACAATAGGTGTTTGGCTGTTAAAATGGAGTGTTCAGGTATGTTGTTCCTTTTTATATGATGTGCCGAGGGTGCAGGGATTTGTATCTTTGGGTTTGCATGTATGTGTGCTCTGGTGCATGTTTGGGGGTTGTTCTTTATTTGGTATTATGGAGGGATTGTTTCTGCTAGGCATGGTCTCAGCAAGCTGTCCATTTTTATAGAATCCATTTTCTTCCATTTTTGATCAATGAAAACGTCTTGGCTTTCGAGTGAGTGGCATACATATCGGATTGGTGCGCATAACTGTAATTCATATGCAAATCAGTACATGCCTTCATTTGGTTCCGCATTATTGCGCTCGGGCGTGGTCCTTTGTTCCTGCGTAGGCGAGGGTGGAGATCATTTCTTGCAGCATAGCACAGATCGTTCTGAACACTGCTGAGTGGCAACGAAATCATGGCCGACGTTTAAGATACTATAGAGATTAGTTTGTCTTTGGTTTCAGGCATTCGTTAAAGAGGCAAACACTGGTGCTCTTACTGTATTATAGGGTTGAGTTTCTCTTTGGGTTTCAAGAAACTCGTTTGCAAATGCATGTTTCTTATGACGCCTCGGCTTGTTAGATGTTTAATGGTGTTTTTTGTTTTGTTAGAACAATGGCTGGATATAAATTATGCCGTTAAAAGGTATTGGAGCTGTCGATAAAACTATCACGTTGTTATTATTATTATCATGAGGTTAATAACATTCGTTATTACTATTTGGTTTTCTCCTATGGGCATTGATAAGCGCTAAATCTATGAGCGTTGGGGAGGTTCGTATGAGATATTAACTTAGTCATTCACAAATTGGTTTCATGAGTTTATAATCATTTGAAAATTGTTGGTATTTTTGCAGGAGAATGTCTTGAAAAAGTGTTTTGATGCCTTGGTAGGCGATGGTTGGGACGATGTGAGTCAGTTGCGAGATTTGGAGGGTGATTGGTGAAGTCACGTTTTGGCCTTGGCTCCAAATGGTGGTCAAAAATGGAATTGGAGTGAGTTGAAGCAGGCCCTCTCGACCAGCAGGTGCCGAAAAGAAGACACCCAGATGCAGGTGGTCCAGTCGAAGGTGATGCAGGCACATCGGACTTAGCGGGTACGTCGAGTGCGAGCGGCGGTCCTCTCCCCAAATGATGTAGTGCAAGCCCCCACTTCAACACCTTCGGCGCCTTCGCAGGTAAAGCAAAGCAAAGGAAACCCATCAAAATAGAAAATAGTTCGAGGGGATTTTGACAAATCGGCCATTGTCAAACATTCCCACATCAACGACCACGAAGTTGATTGGGATGCGGCCAAACTCATCGCACCAATCCAGTTCTGGCATCCAAGACACATATGCGAAGCCATCAAGATCCGCAAGCACAACACAGTTCCGCAAGACATTGGGTTTCACCTCAACGACATCTGGCTCCCACTCCTCCTATACCCTGGGTCTCCTATACCCTAGGTCCTCAGCTTCCACCTTAGACTGATGGGTCTCCTATACCCTAGGTCCTCCCTCTACTAAGACTGCATCCCTACTGTTCCACTTCAGTGGGCACCAAGCTTGCTCTAGGATCCCAGCCACTTGGCATCCACACAGGATGCAACTTCACACTCCACCGATTTCGCTTTTGCTACTTAAGTACATGGGCGTCGCCAGGATTTTTTCTAGAGGGGGAGCAAAAAACATTTTGGCCAAAAAATGCTTGTATTTCTCAACACATTCTCGATTTATCAGTTTTAGAAGGGGGCAACTCATTAATTTTACACCACTTTGTCTTCGCGCCTCTTTTTCTTTTCTTTTTTTTCGTTTCTTTTTCTTCCCTTTTTTTTTTTTTTGGTTGCTTTTCCAGGGGGGGGGCAAGTGCCCCCCCCCTTGCCCCCCCTCGCGACGCCCATGCTTAAGTATTTCCCTTCTTAGAGTTTAGTCACTCTCCTGAAGACGGTCAGAGCATACTGACCGTCTTCAGGAGAGTTTATACCTCTGGTTCTTTTCAGAACCATTCTCTCTTAGTTGAAAAATTATTTGCACATGGTGTTTCCGCAAACCTTTCATTATTCATTATTTAGGAACAAACACAAATGAGCAAATATCTGTTTATGTAAACCTTATGCCTTTCATTATAGTTGGGATATCATGGTATTTATTGTTTAAGGTCACGCCGGGGCCATAGCTCGCTCAGAATTCCTGATATTATTTACGGGCTTGTTTTGTGCACGAACCTTATGTTAGCTAGGTGAAACAAGGATAAATTGCATTTGATTGGTTAACTGCCTAAGAAATTATCTCCTTTTAAAGAGCGAGATTTTAGATTCATTTTATTCGGGGGTTACATAGAGTGTGATAACTGGAACCATTTCCATATTGTCAGGTTGGGAGCAATGAGCAGTATGAGAGGTTGGTCGAGGTATGAGGTTCTGAGCCAGTGTGCCATTATGGAATAGCCTTAGAGCAAATGCGGGTAGCAAGATTGATAAACTGTCAATGGGGAAATGCATGGATGCCTCTACTGATGCTCCGTGGCATAATTTTCAAAGCTTCGTCTTAATTCATAAGCAAGGGCTTCGCAAAAAAGGTTTTTATTTATGCATACCATGTAATTGCATTGTATGGTACGGATCTAAATAAGTGTTGAAATGGGCAAACAATTGGGCTAAAATATATATAGGTGGGGGTTCCATACATTATGAAATGCAAGCCAAGTACAGTAGCAAAATGAGGGAAAAGGGGATTAGAACAAAAAGATGGCTGTGGTTGGTAAAGGCCTCGTAGAAATGATGAGGGATGGCTGTCACAGGTGGTTCAGGCACTGGGATCCCTTGGAAGAAAAGTGGGAGAGCTTTGGCAAGTCTAAATACGTCATTTTCATAATATCATGGGCAGTAAACCCCCTCCCCCAAGAAGAAGGGTGCTAAAAGGAGATTCTTGGGACAGAAGGAAACAAAACAAAAACAAACAAAAAGAACCAAGGAAAATAGAATATAAATTCAATGTTCTGGTAATATTAATGATACCAGTAATAAACAAGTCGGGTGTGTTTGTACAAACACAAATGCCCCACAACCGTGACTGTTTCCATGACATAACACCACTCTTTTAACATCAACTTACATGCACATGTACTTGGGTCACAGGGAACATTCATTGACGTAATTAGTGTTTTATGTAGGTTTTATATGAATTAATCCCTATGATCTCAGAATAAATACAATATTTCTGTTGTTTTAGCCACTGTGACCTTGACCCTCGACTTTTCAGCCCCCAATGCAATATGCTTCTTAGGATTAGGCCCCCCAAAAAAATAGTTCTGCTTCCGATTACATGCCTTTCAAAAATAGGGTCGGTCGGTCGAAAAAAAAAAAATTTGGCCATTTTTTTTATGCAGATTTAATGGGGTATTCAATTATATGCGAAGTTTTTAGCCTGAACTATTTCCATTGCACTACGAAAGCTATACACGAAATGGCAACAAAGAGTGTATAAAAACTACCTTTAATTATTGTAAATATATTTACGTTCGATAATTTCGGAAAATAATGGAAAATTCAGGTCGTTCGCACCATATGCACAACGCTAGTCAAGACGCGGGGAGCTGGCCAAAACTCCGAGGTGTGTGATGCGTGCGTGTGTGGCGAGCTTCCCACCATGGGCCGACAGACCTGTTTTTAAGGTCAAAAAGTTTGGGAAACACGCGGCGTGTATCACTCCAAATACGAGTAGTGCGATCTCAAAATGAACTCTTGAACACAGAAAATATATACACAGACAAGCTAGATCAATTCTGTAAATTAACTTGCAAAAATGTTCTTTTTCCATCGGTGTTTTCTTGGCATTTTTACGATGTCGAATCCGACCAGTTGACAGTGGCCTGCACTGCTAGCGTGCTATCGGTCGCATAGCTATGGACTGGTTACCGCATTTTCATCATGTCTTCTAAATTGGCCCCTGCGCGGCGCGGCGGGAACCAGTCGTCGCCACGTGATTATAGTCGCCGTCACATCGCATTGCGAAGTAGCTATATCGCGAAGCGAATTTGTAAACATAACGGAGGTTTCTTTTGAAAAAAAGCGAATGTAAGTAAGAAAACAAATAAATACAAGCATTTTTTTATGCAAAAGGGTTGTTGAGAGGTATTTTGTGAAGACAGAAAAGACAACAAAATTTTATTTTTATTTATTCAATCTTTTTTTTTTTTTTTTTTTTAATTGCCAATAAATTTTTTAGGGTCGCAGCCTAAAAATAGGGTCGGTCGGGTAACCGGAAGCAGAACTATTCTTTTTTTTGGCCTTACCAAGAACAATCCACAAACCAAATTTGAAGTTCACATGTAAAGCATATCTCAAGTTTATCGCACTGACAAAATTTCTCTGTTTTAGCCACTGTGACCTTGACCCTTGACCTTTCAGCTCCAAATGCAATAGGCTTCTTAGGATTATCAAGAACAATCCACAAACCAAATTTGAAGTTCACATGTTAAGTATTTCTCAAGTTATCGCACTGACAAGATTTATCCGGACATCCACCCACCCACCCACCCACCCACGGAAGGACAAGGCAGAAACAGTATGCCCCTTCGGCTTCACCGCGGGGCATAAAAACGATCCTAAATATAAACTTCATGAACAGCAAATTCCAAGATTTGAATTTTTGGCTTGGGTTTCCAACGGGTACCCATATTTTTCCCAAGAGGGTACCCGGTTCATGTACTACCCGTAAATGCACACCCCTATACCCCTACGTGTGGTCGTCGGGCTTTCCTCAAAACGAGGAGTTGTTCACTAAGATCTCTCTTCAGGTTCCTTCGTGGGTCCGCATATGGCTGTAGAGCCCCAGATGTGAGCGAATTAGGCGGCCGCATCTAGGACAGTTTAGCTTAAGTGGTGATCTGGGGATACTGGCCCTTTCCTTCCGCTTACGACGTTTGTCTTCAAGTGAGGCAATCCTGGACTGCTCGAAGTGCTTAACACCGTGTGCTCCAGACCACACCGTTTGAGGGTGTTCTTGAATAGATCTTTGAGGCCTTTCCGAGGCCCACCCGTACAGGAGGGTCGATACAACAACTGCTTGGTAGACCTGGAGCTTGGTAGAGGGCTTCACACCATGTTGCCCACCTTTTCCAGGGCCTTCCCGGAATTGGGGTGAGCAGCGCTATGGCTAAAAAGCCCTGCTCAGACGCGATTGCAGCTGCCGGAAGCTCATGTCGCCACATTCATGGAGCCAACGACCATCACACGACCTCCGCCAGCGTGCAGGTTTCGGGCTAGAAACTCCCAGGTATCACCGACCCTGTCTCCGTTACCAGTTACCTGTCGCCACTGGACTTGATCAGGATAGAAGGAAGAAGGGTAGAGTAGAGTAGAAGCGAAGTCGTTCGCGTGAATGCTTTTTATAGATGGAAGAAAAGGCGCGACGTCTTCTCCCATCTTCTTGGCTGGTCCTCTCCAGGCTCCACAGCAGATTGAAGTGCCCGAGATTGGTGGAGTTGGCCAGTTGCAGCAGATCTTAGGTATCAGCCTTGACCGCTAGGCTATCCTACAAGGGGGTTTGATGTTGGAGCTTTCCTCCTCCTAGGTGGACTGCCATCCCTGGCTACGAGTTCCACCCGCCCCGGGTTTGAAATCAGAGTTATTCCTTCTCCTAGGTGGGCTGCCTTCCATTGTTTACGAACCCCACCTGCCCTGGTTTGAAATCAGAGTTATTCCTTCTCCTAGGTGGCCTGCCTTCCATGACTTACGAGCCCCACCTGCCTGGAGCAGTCTGGTTTTAAGGCGCCAGACACTCGCCTTTCACACCTCTGCCATCTGTTTTAGAACAGGGGTTGGCGCGAGAAGCCAAGCAGTAGGAGTTAAGTTAGGAGAGGCTGTTGGAGACGCTGGCCATATGGGATACTTCGTGGACAGGGAGTGGCTCATTTCCCCCTACCGTCCCGGCCATCCTAACCCTTTGACCCCCTACGTGTAAACCCTATGTGTAAACCATACGAATGTACGAATGGTAAATTTCCTCTGTGTACACAACGTATATGGGAAAATTAAGTTTTCAGGGCTGGTTGTTGTGGAGGCTCTTGGCACCATTTCTAGGTCCCTAGAGAAAGATCTAGATGAAATTGGAATGACTGTACAGGTGGAATTGTTACAGCAGGCTGCTCTAGTAGGAACAGCACAGATCCAATGAAAGACGCTCGAGATCTGAAGCTGCGGGACACAACTTGACTCAAGTAAGAGCCAACAGATAAAGTGTAACTATAAGACTTTTCACATGAAAGCACCAAACAGTTAACCTAACCAAAATGGAACACACGGACACAAGGACAGACCGACAGAAGGAATACGCTATCGCAATATCCCCCTTTTATGGCTAAAGCCAGGGAAAGAATTATGGCTGAAGCCAGGGGGATAAAAATCAACAACACAAAATCAGCAAATTCAAGTTGGAATTTTGTATTCAAGATTAAATTTCATTTGAAAGGTACACTATTAAACAACATACCTTTGAATTGTCAAACACAACCTTTTTCCCCCAATATGGAGCAATTCTACTGGCACCAGCATCAAATTTGGCAAATATGCTGAAGAGGAAATGTGGAACTCTCATCTGTGATGGGTGGTAACCTGTGAAGGAAGTGGAACGGATGAAATGAATAAGCTACAGACATATTGCCTCTATCCTGATATGGGCTCTAAAAAGAGCACTGAAAATATTAAGGATAGTGGGGTAGGAGGGAGGGATGCTCTACAGGTACGTATTCGTTCGTAGACCCAATCCACACTTCTGTGTGGGGGGGGAGGAGTCCATGTCACTCTACTTACCTGGAGAGATATTTACTTATGCATAGACAAGCCCCGTGGTGTAGGCGGTGGGTCATGTGATATGCTATTGTATACTATAGAGGCACGAGGTGTAACCCCGGGCAGGCCCGCTGCTCCACACGTGGGTGGACAAGGGAGCTCAGAAGCCCTGTATGCTAAGGACATTAATCGCGTGCAGTCAATAAGAGCACCATTAATACAATGTCCTGCCTATGACAAGGAAAAACTGAAGGACCCAAGACCTTGTTTTTCTTTGTGCAATATTGGTAATACAAGGTACCTGTTTACATAACAAGGTAATTGTAAAGTGTAGTACAGTGGAACGCCGCTATACCGGACACAGCTTTACCAAACATTTGGCTATACCTAACATTATCCTTGGCTCCCGATTTTTGTGTACAAAATGTAACAAACAGTGTTGCTGAGAAAAGTCAACAGATTAACACAAAAAACTAACAGTTGTATTAAATGCTTTTTGGGCCACTTTTAGTTCCCAAACGTTAAACAACCCATGGTTACATCATGCTTGAGAAATGTCAGTTCACTATTGGTCAAAAGAGGGCGCTGCTGATGTGTGAAAACCTGTGGTGAAAACCACCGTAGTATGTTTTTTTCCCTGCAAAGCTTAAATTTTGAAAACTAAAGGTTAAAAGGTAAAAAAATAGCAAAATATACCTTTAAATTAACCAAGCCATTCCTCTCCCTTTCCCCGATTCCTCTGTTCGTGATGTTTTATTTGTGTCGATTTTATTAAGTTCTGCATTCATACACATGTAATTTTACTTTACATACTTTACAACCCCAAATTTCATAAATAAAGCCTTATAAATAGAACAACTTTTTCATACAAACTTCATAGCAATTTCTTAATAAACATATTGCTAAAACTGGATGTGGTTGTAACTGAACAACCACAGAGCTGTTCCCAACTTGTTTTTGATTTTCTACTGGACAGTAGAAAATAATGTAGTGATTTTGTCAAAAATCTCTAACTTGTAAAATTGAGATTGTTATCTTACATAATTGCACTTCCGGTAAATACCAGAAGTAAGGGTCACATGACCTTTACATACACATTTTCATTGATAACACCTCCCTGTCTATATACTTACCAAGTTTAAGATCAATCAGTCAAATAGTTTTAAAGTTAAAGGGAAAATACAACATTTGCAAACATCAAAAAATAAAACTACCAAATCATTTTGAAATACCTTGCTGGACTGTTAGTGAATGAAAGTGTAAAGCATCCTGTAAAATCATGGCACCTGGTATACTGTCATTTTCAAGAAAAGTGGTATTTTTGTATCAATTTCCAACGCTGATCGGCCGATCAGCGTTGGAAAAAAACTGGCTTTTTATCAAATACTGGCCCCAATTGACCATCGCACTTGTTTGCAATCGATTACAAACCTATGAACGGGTACGAGCCAGCTAGACTGGTTCCCTGACCTTACAATTCCCCAATGTATGTAAACTGCTCTGTTTCTTCTTATATTGAGTCAGGGAACCAGACTACAGGAAAATGATTGTTTTTCTTGGTTTTTATAGCATTTTCGAACCCAAAACCTCAAAAAAGTCAGTGTAACTATATTTGCTATATATTTCCAACCCCCCAATTCCATCCATTTCTGAAAATTACAGTAAAAGCAAATGATGTATATTCCCTTTAATGGAAAGATTGCCTCATTAAATATTCATGACGTCATAACATGAAAACATAAAACTGCCCATTAATAATAATGCTACATATTTGTCCTTCAATATTGTTTAATACTAATATAAGTTGTCAACCCAATCAAATTTCTAATTCATTAGATGTGCCAATTAGGGTCTTAAATTAACACTTCTGGTAACACCGAAGTAGAGGTCAAATGACCTGGACATACCAATTTTTATCTATAACACTTCCCAGTCTGTATACCTGCCAGGTGCACAGTAATAATAATGCAATATAATTATCTGTCAAGATAGCTTTGTATTAATGTGAAGTTTCAACCTAATCAGATTAATAATTCATGAGATATAGAGGTTTAAAATTACCACTTCCAGTAAAACCGGAAGTGAAGGTCACGTGACCTTGACATATCAATTTTCATCTATAACACTTCCCTGTCTGTATACCTACCAAATTTTGAGATCAATCGGTCAAATAGTTCTATAGTTAATAAGGCTGTAAAAATTGAATCTATAAATAGATGTCACGTGACCCCTGATGACGTCACGATGACAACAAGTTTCGGCATACATCTTCAGATGATGGATAATGACTAGCTGAGTTTAAAGTTGATCGATTTAAAATAATTCCCAAAGTGGCTTGTAGAATAAAAACGTGTACAAAACCTAAGTGGAAAAAGAAACTAGAACTGTATGTCTGTCGAAACAGAACACAGGGCTTTTTCGCTTTCTTGAACCACATGAGTGTAGCGAGCATAGGGCCGGCCCTATGAAGAACGCGAAGTGCTTGTTATTGTATGAACATATACGTACTGCCACTATTTGGGGTACTAAAAACTGCCAATGAAAGAATGAAAACGTCTTGCAGCACCTCTATCTTATTGGTGAGTTGTTCAACAAAGGAAACTAGAAATGTGTTTGTGGACAAACACTGAGCTGTTTCGACCGTTTTATTAATGACTACCGTAAAGGAGTTTCATCCAGGTCGAATGAACATGTACATGCGTATCCTATACAAAAAGTGTCCATCCTATGTAAAAAGAAAAAAAAAAATTCATGACGTCATGATGACGGCAAACATTTTTTTGAAATTTTCTGTATCTATCTACGACCTAACAAACCTTTTGCAAAATAGAATTTCGAATTAACCACGTTCCATTGATGAGATATGAGTAAAAGGTCTAAAAATTGAATAATTCATATAAAATCACATGATGACGTCATCGTGACGTCACTGCAATTTTTGTCTATAACACTTCCTGGAATATCTGCATACCGACATTGAACCCAATCAGACATCAGGTTCTCTGAGGTCGATCGGACCGTATTTTATATAATTTTTGCAAGATTTGAAAAAATATTAAAATTGAAAAATTCATAAAAAAAATAGATCATGATGTCATGATGAAGTCACTTTAGATTTTGAATGCTGTTATCTGTACCTCCATACCCACCAAGTTTCATAACGATTGGACATACCCTTATATGTGAATCAAAAAATCACGTTTTTGATGACGTCATGATGACGTCACACATTTTACGAAATTTTGTGCATCTATCTATGACCTAACAAACCTGTTACAAAAAGAATTTCGAATTTACCATGTTCCATTGATGAGATATGAGTAAAAGGTCCAAAAATAGAATAATTTATATAAAATCACACGATGATGTCATCATGACGTCACTGCAATTTTCGTCTATAACACGTCCCGGAATACTTGCATACCAAGTTTGAACCAAATTGAACTTCCGGTTCTGTAGATATAGGGCCTTAAAGTATGCTCTTTTAGGATGACGTCACGTGACACGTGATGACGTCATGATGATGTCATGATTCGGCATACATCTTCAGATGGTGGTCTAAGTGTGTGCCACGTTTGAAGTCGATCAGATTTGAAAAAAGTCCAAAAGTGCCTTGTAGAACGAAAACACATGTTATCCTATGGGGAAAAAAAGTGGAAGAAAAAAAAAAAGAGGAAAAAAAAAATAATAAAAAACAAGAGCTGTTTAACAGCTAATTAATATTCATGAGTTGACAATGTGGCGCTTGGTCGGTCCGCGCCTCACGACCACGTGCGTGTGTGGTGTATCGGAAGCAGGCGATGCCGAATCTGGTCAATGTATACACGCACACACTTGCGGTTTATGTTTGCTTTGGATGAGTCGGCATTTTTTACTCTCTCTGCCACAACTTGCGCAAGGGTATTTTTGCTGACGCCGCGTCAACTGAGTGAACAATTTGACAAGCTGGAACTTGGCACTGTTGAGGCAAATGTTTACGCTATCATTTAATGGGCAATTCAAGATTATATCTGTACTGATTGATTTGTTAGCAATTTTTGAAAAAGGAAAGGTCTTTTCAACGGAACTTCCGGTCTGATGACGTCATACGCCTAAACCTTCGCACACGTCTTAAGTCGGTCAAGGTCATCATATACACCAATATCTAGGCGATTCCGACAAACTTCGCTACAGACATCTATTCAAAATACATTTAAGGAAATTTTCAACCTGTCGCTAGAGGGGGCTCGAAAATTGCATGACGTCATCGGTACATGATTTGAAGAATACTATCAGCCAAGAGACTAACACCGTTGAAAGCAAGTTCATATCTATTACCACTTTTAAATAATAAGCCATTTCCGATTTTGGCCTTTTTCGACCGGAAGCAAGGGTCACGTGATTGCACGCACACTGAATGAAATAAAGACCTCAACCTACTCTACCACTTGCCAGCAACAGAATGCTGCAGACGCGTATGGTTGATTTCTTATGCATTTTTAAATATTAAAAGTGTCACAATTTAATTGCCTATAAATAAACACCGGATGACATCATCATGACGTCATCATTACACAATGTTGTTTGAATTAGGGTCTTTGCTTGGACAAAAAGTGGTGTAAATGAATTACTGGCATAGAGTCGAAAATGCCCTTTGAAAATCGACAATTTTTTTTTAAATTTCTGTGTACAAAGTCTATGGGAAAAATTAAATATTCAAAATTCTATAATAAATCGCGTGATGACGTCAGCATGACGTAATGATTCGGCATACATCTGCAGGTGATGTTCTAAGTACATGTATGTGCCAGGTTCGAAGGAAATCGGAATTGTTTTAAGTCCAA